AAGATTAATCTAAAGAGGTGATCGAATCTCATCTCAGCAAAAGAGTATTCGGAAGTCATAGTAGGAGTTTAGCGTTTATCACTTTGTTCAAAATGATCGGGGTTATCCCTAAGAATATTACCTTTAACATTCTTCCGGGAACTTCCCGTTACATGAATTATCGACCCCCAGCTTTCTTTGCAAAACTGGGTGTAACGATTTCCGGGAACTTCCCGTTACATGAATTATCGACCCCCAGCTTTCTTTGCGAAACTGGGTATAACGAGGAGTACGTCACCCTCAGTCGCATGTTCGAGTTATCCTTTCCCGTTAAGGAAAGGAAATAGTTTAGACTCATATACCTTTTGGAGTATCGAGGAGCAGTTTATACTCGTATACTCTTCGGAGTGTGGGGAAACAGTTTATACTCGTGTACCCAATGGAGTAAGGTCGTTTTTAATCGGCTTGTTTCGTTGTTATGACGCCGGAGTCAATTAGGGCTTGGATCTTGTTTTTGAGTCTAAAGCAAATCTCGGTGGGATGAAGAACTCTTCTGTGGATGAAGAACCCTTCTGTGGTATGCACAGTAGTTTGGATCTGTAATCATCTTAGCACCCTCCTGATCTTTAATAGGCGGTAGCTCGATTTTGTCATTGGCGAGGAGGTATTCCAATATGGCTGGAGCTTCATCATCTTCGAAAGAATACTCCTTTTGGAACCTTGGATCGAGAGTTGCGTTCACAGGAATTGTGGATGTCGTCGGTTGACCTCTCTCAACTTTCTTTCTTTTAAGAAAGTATTCAGCTTGTTCACCCCGAGATTTTAACTCCTTCCAAGTTGTGGATGGCACGACCCCCAGAGCTTCCAGGACATCGATGGAGAGGTTATTGTGGCATGTTTGCAGAATGAACTCCTCTGTAACAGGATCTCTGCAATTCATTGCCTTGTTACGGAAGCGTTTGACAAAACTGTCGACTAACTCCTCGTCTTTTTGTTTTTCATCCAGAAGGGTTCCGATTGACACTTCGGTGTCATCATCGAAGAAGTTGCTGAGGAACAAACTTTCCATGTCATCCCAACAATTGATGCTCCCTGGCTTGAGCCGTCGGTACCAATCGAAGGCCGACCCGCGAAGGGTGCCAACGAATGACCGGACCATTAAAGCCTCGTTTCCAGAGATCATGCCCAAATGAGACTTGAAATAAATCAAGTGCTGAATCGGCGAACTCTTCCCCTCAAACGGTGTGAAGTTAACCGGATTGAATTTGGCCGGGTATGGTATTGAATCCCATTCTCTTGGATAGGGACACGGAATACCTGTCTTTTTCCCTTCTTGAGCCGTCATCAAAGCGTTGATTTTATTTTCAAGCTCTTTCATTTTCTCGTCATCGTCTATGTCTTCATTCGAAGGACGTTGAGGAGAATGAGTTAGACCACCCCCTGTAAGAGGTGCCATTGAACCACTCCCAATATCGTTATTGGGAGAATGTGTTAAACCACCCCCAGCGTTATTGCTATTGGGAGGTGTATCAGCAAAGATGACTTCATCCACTTCTGGATCACTATCATCTGCGACATTCTGAGTGTGGCGGCTGGATTCAGCTCGCTGACTGGACTCAGGAGGTTGAGACCATTGAGTTAGCAATTCTCTCATTTGTTGGATAGCTAACTCCATTTCTGTCTTCACTTCAGCTCTAATTTCTTCACGTTGTTTGGCTAGAGCTTCCTGAAGTATTTGAGTGAACTGATCAGCAGTGATTGTGAATACTTCTCTGATTTGTCCTGTGCTAGACATTGTATCATCAGAAGCGATTGCAGAATAAGTGTCCGAGAATTCATCCTCCGAGGACATTCCTTCTTGCATTCTCTTGTAGTCTCTGCGTCTGATAGCTCCTAATTGGAGTCGAGACATCCTTTGAGCAATTCTTGGATTGACTCTTCCTCTCGGGGAAAAGTCAGGATTTGAGTCACTTGAATGCCGCTTAGACTTTCTTTTATCAGCCACGTTGATGGTGACTTCAGGGAATTCATCATTTTGGACAGCTGCTCTTCTTTTGCGGAAATGTCTCGGCTTAGGTTTCGATAATACAGAGACTTTTCGTGGGATGACTTCTCGTTTGAAACAGTCACATTCTGATAATGCTGTTTTAACGAGTCGCGCACAGGAACAACGAGAGTTTATCTCTCGAATAACTCTCTTTCGAAAATTATTCACAACTTCAACTTGATAATACGATTCATCGGTATGATTGCCAAAAAATCGTATCGTCTGTTGGTATGATCTCCCAGGTATGACGATATCATTTGGTGAATGCGTCTTCTTCTGGGGGTATAAAACCTTGTTGGCATTCTCAGGACAATTTATTTTTGTCCTTGAGCGATCCAAGGTTATGTCAGGAGTCGCACGTCTAAAACCACCCCCTTGCGGGTATGGAGTCTTAACGGGCTCTGAATGCTGATTTTGCATAAGTCCAGACTTTGGAATCCAAACTTGACGAAGTTTTGGTGATTCTTTGGTCACCATTTCCTTTCTCTTTTCTCGTCTTTGTTGTGAGAGAGCATGGGCATTAGCAGCTTTTGCACGACGTTTTTGTATACGTTCTTTGAGGGTCGAACGAGTCTTTTTGACAATAGTCCATTCATCCGTCGTTGTTTTAGCAGAGATACGAGTGATTGGTTGTTGAGACAACTGAACCACTCGATGTCTCCTCGACTCTAGGTCCGCGTGGTAACGAACCCCGTCGGTTTGTTCCAAGGCTTTAGCCATTTGGCGAGCACAGCGTTGGCGTTGTCTCTGACGAGCTCTTTTCGTCAATGCCGGCGGGCTTTGATTCGATGACTCTTTAACTAGATAAGAGCCATTGTGAGCAGAAGTATTGCGAGTGAAATTCTCAGCAACAATCAAGCGAGAGTCTTCATTTTGTGCCTTCTTTGGCATGCAACTCTTCCTCAATTGTGAGATCCTCTTGTACTTGCGAGATACTGAAGATCTTGAAGAGGATGATGAGAAATATTCCTCAAACTTGGTTTGGTCGAATTCGTATTCGACCATGGATTCAACTGGAATCTTGATCGGCTGCGACACGACGGTCTCGGCAGCGAGACCGTTGGCTCCCACTGTGGTCGCCAGTTTGTTTTCGCCAAAAGTCGAATTTGTTGTCGAATTCATTATATCTTCGGTCGATTACAATAAATTCAAAGAAAACAGCCTTTTTATAAGACTCTTTTACACAACAAAAAGAAAATTACAACTCTTGAGAAAATAAACGCAGGATCGTTGTTTGGATCACTGCTTTCGTGGGATCTTTGCCTGTGCCGGGAGCGCTTTGACTCGTGGACCACCAAATCACAGATTCTGATTGAACCGTGAGGGGTTTAATGATTCTTCCTTCGTTTATCGAAGTAAGAATTTGAAGCGAATATCTTATCGATGTAAGATGTTCACTCTTCCAAAGATCAAGTCTGAGCTTAGATCTCTAGGACTCGCTAGAAGCTTCTTGAGGATGTTTGTGAAGAAGGAAGACTCTCTCTCTTGCTCTAATTCACCAAAACTCAAGGCTCTCTGCTCTAATCTCTCTGGAAAATGCTCAGCCCCTGTCAATGATGGCTATAGGGGGGTATTTATAGCCTCCTTAGACGATAACTGAAGAAATAGCTGGTCAATAACTGTCTCTTTAGGCGCGGCAGCTGATGCTGTCGCGGCTAAAGGGCGCGACAGTCGACACTGTCGCGGCCAAAGAGCGCGGCAGTCGACACTGCCGCGGCTAAAGGGGCAGTTACACCCACGTTCATACGTGTTTGAAACAGTTCTCCCACGACCTTTAACCACCTTTTTCGTGGTTTAACTGCTTTTCCACATCAGCACACGTTCTATTTCTGATACTCCGCCACGTGGACTTTAAATAATCATCAGATAACTGTATTATAACTGCTGTAGCATCCTGCTTTAACTGCCGCGGCACCATAGGTTGCAGCGGTTAAGCCGCGACACCATAGGCTGCCGCGCCTTAGCCGCGGCACCTTGGTCTGCCGCGCCTTAGCCGCGGCACCTTGGTCTGCCGCGCCATAGCCGCGGCACCATGTCCTGCCGCGCCGCCATATGTTGCTTGATGACGTGTATATTGTTCTTCTATATCGTCTTGAGTGGTGTTTGAATGTCTGTAAGCATTTTTTGACGCCTACATGTAGTTATTCATTTCTATCGATAATTATAACCTTATTGGAGGAATTCACAATTCATGCACTCTGTTTTTGCAGTATTAGAGGTTATTATGTATATGCTTGTTTTTTGCTAGTTAGTTATTACAAATCTAACTCATTTTTTGTATTATTACATTGACGAATTGGTGAACCATTCGCTAATATTCTAATTCAATCGTTTTTCGGTGAATGGTTTCTGTAAATCTTCTTATGGATAAGTTATTCACAAAATATCAACTATTCATGGATCTTATGAAGCGTCACTATTTATGTTGGAAGCTTGGTTTTTTGCTAGTATGTAGTGAAACACAGCACATGTTCTTTCTACCTACTTTTTCTTTTACTAGTTACTGCAAAAATCTAGCTCATTTTTTGTATTATTACATTGACATATTGGTGAATCATTCACTAATATTCTCATTCAACTGTTTTTCGGGGCATGGTTTCTGTAAATCTTCTTATGAATAAACTATTCACAAAATATCAGCTATTCGTGGATCTTATGAAGCATTACTCTTTATGTATATTGGAAGCTAAGGAAAAAAAATAGTACTATCTATCAGTGTCAATAAAGCATTCAGAATTTATTTGTATAGCGTGACCTATTTTTTCCATAACATTCTATTCATTAGTTGAGGTTGCTGTTGGTTGTAATTCTACTGAAATTTTCCTGCCGTAACATGTATTGAGTTTTACATCATTACAATATATCGTCTTCCAGTCTAGATGTTCTGGTAGATTCTTGGATGTTTAGACATTCAATATCTAAGTCATGAATCATGTACTGAATGCTAAGTAGAAATTACCTATGCTGTTTGATTCTTCTGGTGCTTTCTATGAAATTTTCTCAAGCAATTAACTTCTTGCAGAACCGGCTGCTTGCAATGAACTATATAAATGAGGGCTCTGATGATAAGCTTTTTGAGGCTCACAGGTATTTCTAACTCTTTACAAAGTATATATGCTTTCACAGGATTCCCATTCTGTTCGGTACCTGTTTATGGATATTTCTATAATATGAGATTATCAGTGTATTTAGAAGTCAATTTTCGATAATAGTTGGTTTTTATTCCAAACCTGGTAAGATTCAATCTAGGAGTTAGCTTTTATGTTTGAACTTTTTAAGCTTCATTTTAGATGAATCAACTCTGTTTGATTTTGACTATAGAAGAGGTGATACTTTTCGATCTCATTGAGCGCTTCTATTGTTTTGCTGCCCATCTATTGTGACAGGTTTATGCCACACGATTGCTTTGTCAAGTTAATGAATGTTATTGAATGCCTTGGGAATTAGAAATATTTGTCGAACTGTTCTTCAAATTCGTTGGTCCAAAAGAAATCTGATGAGAGCCTGATAAAATTTATATTGTAGTTAATGCATTATGATTCATTGTTGCTCTGCCGTGTCATATTTAAAAGGATGGAAAACCTGTTTTATAGATGCTTTGCAAATGAGAACTTTTTTTTGCCATTGCAAATTTCCTTGGTTCATTAAGATCGGAGTGTCAATGTTATGGATATCCTCTCTGTTTTTTTGTCTCTTTTTGTGTAGCTGTATTGTGAATTTTTTTATGTTCCACGAAGTTCCTGTATTGAAAGATGCATATATGGTACTTTTGATCAAATTATCTTTGTTGGAAACAAATGTAGAACCATGTCTTTTTAGATGGAATATCTGATTTCTTGCTAAAATTTTCTTATTGAAGTACCATCCGAATGAAATCTGCATGCAATAGACACGAGTGTTATATAGCAGCCTGTTAATAATTTATTTTGATAATTCTGCAACTTCATTATTACTTGTTTAGTTGTTTACAAGTTCAGTGCTGTCATTTTGACTTCAACACGGAGTGAACATATAAAACTACTTCATTTTTATAGCATGCCTGTTAATCATGAAAATGATTATGAGTTTTGTATACCACACCTGTTAATCATTTTTATTGGTAATTCTGCAACTTCAGTATTTAGTTGTTTACAAGTTCAGTTCTGTACTTTTAATTTCAACAGGGAATGAGCACATAAAACTACTTCAGTTAGTGGTACAAATTCATAGTAGTTTGACTGACTGATGTTTAATTGTTCCTCAGGGAATGGGGAATGCGATTTATGAAGCTATACCCTCAATATACCAGTTGGGATAATCCTAAAGATATGGAACGCCCATTAGTAATTGGATATGTGTCACCTGATTATATTACTCACTCTGTATCATATTTCATTGAAGCACCTCTCTTTTTCCATGATTACACAAATTACAAGGTGATTGTGTACTCTGGTGTTGTAAAGGTATGGTTATTTCTCTCATGCACAAGTGTCACCACTTAGTTAACTTGAAGTCTTTTTTCAAGTATCTTGAAGTCTTTTTTCAAGTAATTTACAACACGTCTTTAAGTCAAGTTTATGGGGGCTCGGGTTATCCCTAAAAAAAATTACATTTAACATTCTTCCGAGAACTTCCCGTTACATGAATTATCCACCCCCAGCTTTCTTTGCAAAACTGGGTGTAACGAGGAGTTCGTTATCCTCAGTCGCATATTCGGGTTATCCTTAAGAATATAGGATTCTCCAGGAACTTCCCGTTAAGGAAAGGAAATAGTTTAGACTCATATACCTTTTGGAGTATCGAGGAGATACTCATATGCTCTTTGGAGTGTGGGGAAACAGTTTATACTCGTGCACCCACTGGAGTTGTATGGTCGTCTTTACTCGACTTCTTTCGTCGTTATGACGCCGGAGTCAATTAGGGCTTGGATCTTGTTTTTGAGTCCAAAGCAAATCTCAGTGGGATGAAGAACCCTTCTGTGGTACGCACAGTAATTTGGATCCATAATCATTTTAGCACCATCCTGATCTTTAATAGGTGGTAGCTCGATTTTGTCATTAGCGAGGAGGTATTCCAAGATGGCTGGAGCTTCATCATCTTCGAAAGAATATTCCTTTTGAAACCTCGGATCGAGAGTCGCATTCTCAATGATTGCAGATGTCATTGGTTGGCCTCTCTCAGCTTTCTTTCTTTTAAGAAAGTGCTCAGCTTGTTCACCCCGAGATTTTAACTCCTTCCAAGTTGTGGATGGCACGACCCCCAGAGCTTCCAGGACATCGATGGAGAGGTTATTGTGGCATGTTTGCAGGATGAACTCCTCTGTAATAGGATCTCTGCAATTCATTGCTTTACCACGGAAACGCTTGACAAAATCGTCAACTGACTCTCCATCTTTTTGCCTCTCATCCAAAAGGGTTCCGATTGACACTCTGGTGTCATCATCAAAGAAATTGCTGAGGAATAAACTTTCCATGTCATCCCAGCAATTGATGCTCCCTGGCTTGAGCCGTCGGTACCAATCGAAGGCCGACCCGCGAAGGGTGCCAACGAATGACCGGACCATTAAAGCCTCGTTTCCAGAGATCATGCCCAAATGAGACTTGAAATAAATCAAGTGTTGAATCGGCGAACTCTTCCCTTCAAACGGTGTGAAGTTAATCAGATTGAATTTGGTCGGGTATGGTATTGAATCCCATTCCCTCGGATAAGGACATGGAATACCCGTCTTCTTAACTTCTTGAGCCGTCATCAAAGCATTGATTTTGTCTTCAAGTTTTTGCATTTTCCCGTCATCGTCTTCATTTCTTTCTGAATGATGTCGAGTAAAGATAATTGGACCACCCCCAGTGAGAGGTGCTATTGAACCACCCCCAATATCGTTATTGGGAGGATCCGTTAAACCACCCCCAGCGTTATTGCCATTGGGAGGTGTATCAGCCATAATGACTTCATCCACCTCTGGATCACTGTCATCTACAACATTCCGAGTGTGGTGGCTGGATTCAAATCGCTGATTGGACTCAGGAGGTTGAGGCTGTTGAGTTAACAGTTCTCTCATTTGTTGGATAGCCAACTTCATTTCTGTCTTCACTTCAGCTCTAATTTCTTCACGTTGTTTGGCTAGAGCTTCTTGAAGTATTTGAGCAAATTGATCAGAGGTGATCGTGAGTACTTCTCTGGTTTGTCCCGTGCTAGATATTGTATCATCAGAAGTGATTGCAGAACAAGTGTCCGAGAATTCATCCTCCGAGGACATTCCTTCTTGCATTCTTTTGTAATCTCTGCGCCTGATGGCTCCTAATTGGAGTCGAGACATCCTTTGAGCAATTCTTGGATTGACTTAATGCTGCTTTAACGAGTCGCGCACAGGAACAATGAGAGTTTATTTCTCGAATAACTCTCTTTCGAAAATTATTCACAACCCCAACTTGATAATACGATTCATCGGTATGATTGCCAAAAAAAATGCTGCTTTAATGAGTCGCGCACAGGAACAATGAGAGTTTATTTCTCGAATAACTCTCTTTCGAAAATTATTCACAACCCCAACTTGATAATACGATTCATCGGTATGATTGCCAAAAAATTGTATCGTCTGTTGGCATGACCTCTCAGATATGACGATATCATTTGGTGAATGCGTCTTCTTCTGGGGGTGTAAAACCTTGTTGGCATTCTCAGGACAATTTATTTTTGTCTTTGAGCGATCCAAGGTTATGTCAGGAGTCGCACGTTTAAAACCACCCCCTTGCGGGTATGGAGTCTTAACGGGCTCTGAATGCTGATTTTGCATAAGTCCAGACTTTGGAATCCAAACTTGGCAGAGTTTTGGTGGTTCTTTGGTCACCGTTTCCTTCTCCCTTTCTTGTCTTTGTTGTAGGAGAGCTCGGGCATGAGCAGCGTTTGCACGACGTTTTTGTATACGTTCTTTGAAGGTCGAACGAGTCTTTTTGACAATAGTCCATTCCTCCGTCGTGAGTTTAGAAGAGATACGAGTGATTGGTTGTTGAGACAACTGAACCACTCGATGCCTCCTCGACTTTAGGTCCGCGTGATAACGAACCCCGTCGGTTTGTTCCAAGGCCTTAGCTATTTGGCGAGCGCGGCGCTGACGTTGTCTCTGACGAGCCCTCTTCGTCAGTGCTGGTGGGCTTTGATTCGATGACTCTTTAACTAGATAAGAATCATTGTGAGCAGAGGTGTTGCGAGTAAAATCCTCAGCAACAATCAGGCGAGAGTCTTCATTTTGTGCCTTCTTTGGCATGTAAGTCTTCCTCAATAGTGAGATCCTCTTAAACTTGCGAGACAATGAAGATCTTGAAGAGGATGATGAGAGATATTCCTCAAACTTGGTTTGGTCGAATTCGTATTCGACCATAGATTCAACCGGGATCTTGATGATTGGCTGCGACACGACAGTCTCGGCAGCGAGACCGTTGGCTCCCACTGTGGTCGCCAGCTTGTTTGCGT